GTAACACAACCAAGTTAGTCAAGGTCACTTACAGGTGACCCTAACTTGCCAATTGGGTGTGAAAGCTTCCCCTCAGGGTATGTATAACCTCTCACAAACCAGTGCCTCTAAAAGCTGCTAATTCACACAAAGAACAAGCAAGAAGCTGAGAGATGATAAACACAAAACGTTTCCCTCCCTTCCTTTGTGTTAACATCAGCAGCATATCCCTAAGTTGAGATAAAAGAATGACCCATGGACTCCTAAACGCCAAAGTAAACCAGGCTCCACCAGGAATTATTTGTGGGCTGCTTACTAACAAGATCTTGGGCCAGAAAGGGCTAAAAGCAAATTGCTGATCACAAATGTGCAATTCAGACAAACTAAACTAAGGCAAACCTGCTCCATGAAGTAAGACACAGGTGTGGTGTGCAGTCTTGGGCTATTTTCCAGAGGCTATTTCCTGGGCTATTTTCCTGTTTGCCAAACATTCTATCTAAGGATACATATCAGTTAAATTGAAAAGCCCCTACTAAAATGTTTGTAGACTTTCACCGAAATCTTAGAGCAATAAAATCTATCATTTTGCCTATGAAAAAAAGAGCTTCACTGGCACTTCATCCTTCAGTTTAAATAATTTCTCTCCCTGCTGCAAGCTTTTAATTTAACTTTATTTCCAGTGGCTTATTTAACCACTCTATGAATCCACAAGATGACTGGACTCCAAGCAGATATCTCCAAGCCTATGCTGGCAGCCAGTGCAATTCAGTTCTCATCACTGTACACCATCAGCCAATGTGCAAAACCCCAAAGTGCAAGCAGGCTCTACTTGCAATGCAACCAAGAAAAAGTTGTTTGTAAGGCTCTTCTACAACTTCAACCCTACTTAAATAGGTCAGGCACAGTCAGGTTCTGAGAGGGAGTATATTTCAGTTTCAAGGAAATCTTACCTGATGGACAAACACATCTTCCTTGGTGTCATTCCTGCAAGATAACAGGAAATTTAAAATTGTGAATAAAATGCACAGTGAATTAAAAATTCAGTTGTTTGGTACAGAGACAAAATGCAGATCTATCATAACAGGCTTTGAGCATTACTCCTCAACCTGCCCTCAACTAGTTCCTATCAGCTTACTGCGTGTAGGAAAGAGATCAGCAGGCAGCTTACACAAAGTGCAAAGCACGTGCTGAAGGTTGAGTAAGGCACTCTCCTCCTCACTGCTGCACACCCCTTCATCCTTCACATCCCATCAGTGGAGATGTCTGAACACCTGACAGTGACCACTGACTCCTTCCCAGCAGTGCTCTGTGGGAGAGCTCTGTGGCTACTGCAGCTTTTGGAAGCAGCTCTGCCTTTGCCACTGGAGCCTCACTTACCTCCCCTCAATGTTTCACTCACCTGAGGAACAGCAACACCAGCTGCCCCTGAAGGCAGCACAGTCAGCCAAGCCCTGGTCTCCCCTCTCAAGAAACAGAAAACAGCTCAGGTCTGTATCTATAAGGACCCAAGAGCACCCATGTTTCAGCATGACTCTGGCAGAGCTTCCACAACTGCCATGAGCCCAAACAGCCACAGCTCAGTACCAGCTTCAGTGAGAAGTTTCTGTTCTGCTCTGTACAACAGAGACACCCTAATGCTGGTTGGAGCTGCACAAGCCATCTCTCCCACTCCTGAAGCACTGACATCCCAGCTCCCATCTCACCAACCCACCCTCACCACAGTGTGAAGTTTCATTACTACATGGAACAGTTTGAATCAACACCAAAGTGGCTTTTATTTCCCAGAATGACTGGTTAAAGACATAAGAAGACTTGTGTGAAAACATGCTCTGAACTGGAGTGCTCATAGTAGCAACAGAATACTTGGATTGGTTTTTAGTAAGATAAAGCCAGGTGCTCCTCACCCCAGCTTTAAAAAGTGAGAATTGACAATTAAACTTCTTCCAGAATCTCCACCCAAGCTACAGCTATTCTGTCAGGCATCACCAGTAAAAACAAGTGTCCTTGTTTCCTCTTGAAATTGATGCCTACAAACCTCAAAGGTTACTGGGAAAAGGCAGCCAAAAGGCAGCAGAGCAGAGCCATTCTGATCTCATCTCCAAAGCTCCACGATGCAGCACCCAGAAGCCCTCGCAAAGCCAAAGCTGAAGCACTCTTCTTCAAAACACAATGTCCAAAACACTGAAAACCTTCACAAGAGTATAGTAATATGTTTCTAGTAAAAATGCTGAGCACCTTTCCTCATCCTCACCTGAAAAACAGTGGTAGGAAGTGCTAATCCACAAGAGTGGACACCTTGTACTTTTGCTCAAGCTGAATTTTGGACAACCAGACCAGATACTTGTTTTTAACATCCTTTTGCAAAGCGGTTTCCATTCAAGAGGACATTGGAGTTTTGGGCTGACAACTGACTGGGTCACACAGAGCTCAATAAGTCAAGTGAAAAACACACCAGGGCATTTTACAGCCTCACACCACTGGCCACTCCACTCCCAATGCTGTTTTCCAGCAAGCATGCTGTCATGCGGATGATGGAACAGCAGGACCATCACTTTTTCAAAGAAAATTTGGGAGGGTACAAGACAGACACACATTCTGATGGCTGAACAGATAATTTAGCTGATCTTTTCACTATGCAACTCTTCATGTCTTTTATCCACAAAAATATATTAGAAAAAGGGAAACAGAAAAGCAGACAGACAAAGATGCCAAGTTCAGCAGGGCACCAAATACCATGCCAGACAGTGCAGCTCCAGTGATGGTACAGACCAAGCCAGCAGTTTTTGCACATCTACTTTTTACTTTGACAAACATGAGAAACAGCCATCAAAGACCTAGAATTCAAACTCCTTCCTATTTTGGAACAGAATCACACTTCTAACATTAAAAACACACAGAAAATACCTGAAGTGAGCACGCACATACATCAAAGTTCATTTCAGTTCCAAAGGCTCATTTTATCTGAAAGCAGACCTGGCTAAAGCAGAGCCATGCAAGGCCAGGAGCTCCCAGCACAGCTTCCCTGCAGCCAGGCAAAGATTCCAGAGCTGAGGAAATGTCCTCCCCTTCAGTTACCAGGCTCTAATCTCTTGATAATACGAGATCATGCTGCGTTTCTCATTACAAATGGCAACCTCAGGGATTAAACAGCTGCCAAAGTAATGACTGGGGAAGCTACTCGGATGTCTCAACTAGCTGCTGCTGCTTCCTTGCTTGACTGACATCACAGAACATTTTCACTACTGAGGGAACAGGAAAAGCCTTCCCTCGAGGTGGGGTTTGTGGCTGGGACTTGGGAGGCGTTTCCAAGGCCAGAGACACGACAGCTCCCGGCACTGGTGACTACACAACACTGGGAGCTGAAGCACAGTGTGAACAATGCAAACTGGGCAGACTGGGAGGCAAGTTTGTAAAGCTGCACGCACAAAACCAATTCAGGAGCTTGACACACAATTCAGACTAGTTCATAAAGTAACAGGCAGTTCAAAAAGGCAGTGTTTAAACCAAACATAAACACAAGGTCCAATAATAACACTACGCTTGCTGCCCTAAAGGAATTCCTCAGTTTCTAGCCACATTCTGAGACTAAGTACCATGAATTAAGGGAAACAGCTCTGGCAACACTCCGGGGAGGCCTCCCCTGTCAGTGGGGCCAAGAATTACCCATTTATTAAAAACTTGTTCGCAGAGCACTTCCTCTCCCTGACAGGCCTACTTTATGCATTTACACAACTCCCAAAGCGTTTAATTTTTTCACACCAACTACTGTCATAAAAGGAACCTTCTAGGCACTTGTTTCACATAACCCATCCATACATTTCAGTGTGGCACCAGACCGTGTGAATTATGCTCCTTTAGATCGTTTTCCAACCATGTTGAGAGTGTCCTCATTAGAGCATGTATGAACTACCAGGTGGTCAAAGCAATTTTTGCCTGCATTGACTGAACTTCACGCAGGAGTTTGAACAAATAGTCTGTGTGCTAACAGCCAGTATACTTTTATATCCTTAAGAGGGAAAAAAAAAAAAAGCCCCAAAACACCATAAAAGAAAGGACCATAATGTAAGGCACATCGCCGTGGCAATAGACTCGCTTCGAGAGCGCGGCTCCTGCCCAGGTTAACGGACCCAAAAACCAACCAGGCCAAACCCCGAGAGGGTCAGAAACCCCAGGGTGGAGAAAAGGCGCATCTCACCAGCTCCTTCTACCGAGCGGGGCGAGAGGCGGCGAAGGCACGGCCGCCCCCCGCCCCGCCTGNGATCGGGGAAGTGCGCGCGACCATGTGGCGGTGGCCGCTGTGCCGTGCCGGCCCCGAGCGCCGCCGCTCGCCGGCCACAGCGCTGCCCGCTCCCGTTACTGACGGCCACAAAGGGCCCGGGAGCGTTATGTAGCAGCGGGAAATAACGGAGCCGTGTCAGAGCTCCCTAATCCACGTACGGACACGGAGCTACAGCACTGAGCTGATCCGCGGGGAATCGGCTTTTCCCTAAGCATCCCATCGTTCCCGGTGGGGAGGGGGATGCTCCTCACCCTGAGCCCTTCTACCCACCCAGGCTGCCGGGAAAGCATCACTGCTGGGTCCTTCACCCTGCTGGAGCCGTTCTCCAAGCACCACCTCCCAGCTCCTCTTTGCCTCCTTACCCTTATGTCTTCAACTTAGAGCGGCCTGGAGGGAGATATCCAGCATCTCTTGCTGGATTCCCCAGAGGGAAGGTCCAGAGGAAAACCCTGTGCTTGTCCAACAAGTTAATTTTCCTTAGGCACTTGAAAAATGTGGTTGGTGGCCGCAGATCCCTAACCCTGCCTTGGCTATGTCATTTATCTGATATAAGAGGAGGGAAAAGTCATCAGCACGGAAGGTCTCTGGGAGGTGACCCACCACCCCACCATTTTTGCAACCAAAAATCCCCTTGGGATCAGCCCTTTCAGCACTGCACACAAATCACTGTCCAGTTCACCATCCCCACATTCCACCCTGGCCAGGTGAGCGACTCCAATGAGGCCAAGGTCAACCCAACACATCAATCCATAGGAACACTGGTCTCATCCAGCTCTCTTTGGAACTCTTCCACCTCATCTTCAGCTCAGTTAACGAAGGGAAGGGCTTGAAAACAATAACACAATCCCAAAAGGATCTGCACCAGGATGATGACCTGGATAAAGAAGCTAGAATGATGTCAAAATTGGATGCTGCTTAGTGAGTCACCTGAAAAAATAATCTTACAATAGAATGGGAATTAAGGAATACACCAGGCCCATGAGGGAGAAAATGGTGGAGAAAACTTCAGCTCTGGGAGAAAATCTCTGGGGATGTCAGGGCCATGCACCAACAGCTGAAACTGTGGGCCCCAAGTATGTTTTTGGGGGGTAACACTGTGGGGTCCAGAGGCAGCTCAGACCCTCAGGGAAATGCACAGGCCACCAGAAACACCATCTCTAGTTGCAGCATCCACAGCTGGAGGAAGATGCTGGAGCTGAGAAGAGCTCCATCATCTCCTCTACAGGAGGACATTCTAAGATTTGCTACATACAACACAAGGGTGATGTCATCATGGGGGAATTCAACCAAAAATGTGGTCTTTGAGAAGACTTTCAGCCAGTAGGTAAGGAACAAGGCACACAAGCTGGAAAGCTGGAACCCTGCACATTCCATGTTGAATAGAAATATAACGGGATGTAATTAGCCAATGTAACAACAAAGAGGTTGTAATGTGTTTGCCACTCTTAATTAATCTGGGGAAGCTCTGTGACCCCTGTATGCAGGAAGTGAGACCAGCTGATGGCAGTGATGTAAATACATCAGGCTGAAAAAGTTCTGCTAAGCCTGGACCAGAAATAAACTGGTTTCCCTGGTGAAAAAATGGTGAATTTGGGTACCAGCAGCCAGAAGTGCAAATCTCAGCACGGCATTGCCAGGTATAGCTCCCTGAGGCACCTGAGCCAGCCTGTTGAGAATCTTCAACCTTCCCCTCACAGGAAAAGCCCTCTGCAAAGCATTTGTGGGGCTGGGGAAGAAAGGATTGGGGTGTCTGTGCTTCTTCTATCACCTGATGTTCTGCAGGTACAAAGTGACATGCCTCAGGCTGGAGAGAAGAGAGTGTCCTCAGCTGCTGTGCAATCCCAGGAATGGGGACATAGGAATGCTGACAGCCAGAGCCTGCTGCCAGGATTTCAAAGAGCCATGACAAAAAAAAAAGAGCACAGCCAAGCCTGTGGGAGCTTCTTCCAGCATGTCAGTGCTGGCCCAGCTCAGGCAGAGAGCACCCTACAGCTGCTGGCCCAGGGAGGGATGGGATCTCTCCACATGGGATGAAGCACCTGCTTGTGATAGAACAGATTCTAACTTAAACAGGTCCTTTACCTTTAAACAGCTGGGTGAGAAGTTCCTGCTGGAAGCCAGCCCTGTGCAGGGTGCTGGCTTGTCCCTTGCCAGGTGGGTGAGCTCCCAGCTCTGTTCTGGGAGAAGAAAAGCAGCCTCAGCTGCACTCTCCTCACTACACAGGACAAGCAGCCCCAGTTTCATTCCTATAGCATCACCATTCTGTGTTTCCCAGGTGACAGGTGTGCTCCAACACCCCTGTAAGTACCCAGGTGAACTCCTCCTCCAACACTTGGCATGTAACAGCTCCATGGCCTGGTGCTACCTGGTGCTAGGGGAAGGCTGAAAGACATTTATTTACATCAGAACTCTCCTCTGAGCCCAGCACTCATGGTGATGGAATCTGTGCTATATCAATTTCTCAGTAAATTGATATTTATATTTTTATTTATATTGATATAAATCAAAGCCTCAGTAAGGCTGTGCACAAAAAGGTTCTAGAGATTGCCAAGATGCCAAGAACCTTTCTGCCAGCCAGGGAGTTGTAGTTACCTCCTTTCACCCCTACTTTCTCTCTATACCATGCAGTAAATGTTCCTGACTGAACCAGCCAGGGATAATGAATGTTGCTGAAGATGTTACACAGCCCTTCTCACCTGGAGAAGAATCCATTCCCACAAATGTTAATTGATGTGCACTGCACATGTTTAAGAAAAATTCTTTATTTACATTTCAAAATGTAAAAAAAAAAAAAAAAGGAGAAAAAAAAGAGAAAAAGAGATTCCCATTAGTAAATAATCTCAGGAGAACTTCAAGAGCATTGGATCTGGCCTGTGGAGAAGTCTGGGGCAGTGGGTGAGCTGGCTGGAATTGGAATTGCATGGAGCCTGCACAGGTCTAATCACCGGTAAAGGAACACTGAAAGGAAGAAGAAACAAGTCTGAAATGCTGGACAGCCATTCCCAACAGATCCTACAACAGCCAGGGGCCACACAGCAATTTTAAATGCATGCCAGTTGCTACACACACCAGCTCTCATCATGCACAGAACTTGGGAGTCCTCCTGGGTCTGCCTGCCAGGCAACTGCATCTACTTGTGAAGTTAAAAGCAACAGTGCTTGTTTCTCCCAGCTGATTTTCAAGGATCTTGACAAGTAGCTGATGTGGCTGTCTGACATCAAGCAGTGCAAAACTGTTCTCTTCCCCAGTCAGAAGAGAGACATGAGGGTGCAGCAAGGCTGTTCCTAAGACCTGGCTGGGAAATAAGCATTGTACCTATGAATGAAAAGCTTCCAGGCTCAAGCTGGGCATTGGCCAGAAATCCTGTACTCCAAACTAAAATGATAAAGAAGTCTGGGCCTGAGGACAACCCTAAAGGGGACACAACCCTTCAGAATAGCTCTCCAAGAAAAGGGACAGCTTTGCTAGCAGGCTTTTTTCAAAAGCCTGGACATGGCACCAGAAGTACCAGGGGAAAGGAAGAATGATTACATTCCGTGTTGTCACTTCATCAAATAGCAAGAAGTCCCAAGGGTCTGAAGTGCTGCAGGTCTCTAAGACTTTATTACAAAACAGGGAACAGTATGGGCAATTCCAGTTGCCTTTGGATATCATTTAGTGGAAGGTCAACAATTTTGGTTATGTGCCTTTGACAGAGCTGCCTCCTGAAATTTGGAAAAAAACAGCAACCAAAAGGCTAATACAGCAGATTTTTGACAAGCTGCAGCCCAACACACTAAAATCTAGACATATTTGTTTAAATACCTATGTTTTTTACAGTAAAGTGAGCAGACAAATGGAGACAGAATACTGTGTATTAGCCTGAGACTATTGGTTTAAGCAAAATGAAGCCTGAATAAAAGTAAATAGTGGAAACATCTCCCTTCAGGTAAGGACAGTGGTACTTTTTTCAAATTAAGGTAAGACTATGTAAGATGGTAATTCCTTGGTCCTTCAGTGGTGTTGGTCCTACAGCTGTGCTGAGCAAAAAGGCTCAAGTCCTCTCTTTCTCCTCTCCTTTTCTTGATCCCTGCCTGTCCCACCCATGGACACTCTGCTTTTTGTAGCTGTTGGAAAGTTCTCCACCTGCAGGTCAAAGTGAGGCCTCCCACCAACTAGACTGCCTGGGTAATGCCAGATGGATTACTGCTGCAATTTCCTTTCATCCACTTTCTAGAATCGAGGCTTCAAGGCAGCCTAACCCAATCCAAGAAAAAGCTCCCACAAACCCATCTTCCCCTTGACTGCAGCTGCAAAATCTTATCCCTGCTGTGCTGCCTCTGGTGTTAGTGCAGCTTGGAGGGAAGCCAGTTCTGGGACTTCAGCTGGCAAAAAACGAATGGTGTTAGAGAAGCACTTTCTGGTGTTTCACTGAGCTGAGACAGCTCTCTGCAGGTTCAAAGGAATGTGAATATAAGTCAAGAGAAAAGTAAGGAGCAGAGCAGCACAGAGTTCATGGCACTGTGCCTGTGAAGATTGAGACTTACCACATTGCTCTGTCATTGCTTCACATTTCCCCACACTGAGAGATCACAACTGGCAACTTGGGTTTGTTATTGGGACCCGTAGGCACATTCTGGGGACAAACAAATACAGAACATTAAAACTTATAAAAGCAAACCCAGGCAGTGACAGGTACTGGAAGAGTGGCTAAGAGATATCTCTAACATGAGGAACAGGGAATTCCAGACACAGCTCTGAGGAGCAGAAAAGCACCATTACACATTTGGCAACAGGCCCAACCATAAGCTGGTGAATTCTCTCTGTAAGCAGAGATTTGGGACACAGACCAGAGGCTGGTCCTTTGAACTGGATGGAAGGAACACAGCAAAAGCTGGAGAGCTCCTCATGGAGATACTTGAGACTGCTCCAGCTTTTATACTAAAAGCAGCTGCCACAAGTAAAACAAACTTGTGTTCATACAGAAAGGAAAGAGAAGTGGCAAAGCAATCCTCATTCTGAACCTCCTGATGTGCAGGACTCAGCTGTTCTCTGAGTCTCTAATTTTCTTTACTTTGGTCTTACTGCACTGATACCCAAAGCAGGCTCACCACAACCCTTCAGCAGATTATACCACGCTGTACAGCTCCTGCCAGACCTTTTCTCAAAGCCCAACAGCTCTGTGCTTGCCCTGCTTCCTGGACTAGAGGCCCTTATGCACATTATCCCACGTGTGTCATGGAGCCAATGCTGGCAGTCTCAGAGAACTTGCTGCTATTTGTTAAATCTACTCATTATCCTGCCATGACACCCAGGCCTGATGCTGGCAGCAATCATCACCCAGATTGTATTTATCTTCAGCTTCTGGAAGCCCATCAGGAGATTAGTTTAATTTTTCTTATTAAACATGCTGATCATGGATCAGCAGAACTGATGATTTTGCATCCACTGAATAATCCCAGGCAATGGCAAAGAAGTGAGATGCTTTACGCTCTTGTCTGAGCTGCTGATGGAACAACTTTTTAATTCAGCCTCCTGAACAAATGCAAAGCAAATAAAGCCAAGAACGCAATCCCCGCTCAAAGACTATCACAGTCACAAGATCCTAGCAAATTTCCAAAGCCAACTCATATGACAGCCCGTGCTTCAACAGATTTCCTGCTACATTATAATGGTGACAACTAATAATGCCAGTTATCAACACTGGTATTCCCTGGTATCCTGTAAACAGCAGGAGGGAACAGGACAACTCTGCTGTCTTGGGTTGCAATGCAAGATGTAACCAAAAAGATGTTAAAACCAGGTGGGACAGTGTTCTTTATCTCTCCCATGACCCATCCTCCCTCCAGGGGGAAATCTGCTGTTCATGGGCCATTGAGTCTCACTTCAGGACTGATAAAATTCCATCATCCCTTGGGAGATGCTCCACCCAGGGGGAGGAACCAAGCATTCCTACCTGGATATAATCAGACTCGGAACACCACAGGCAGCTTTTCTCCACTGGATTGCCAGAGGGAAACAGGACCCATCTACACCACCACTGGACCTTCAGAGGAAAACTACACCCTTCTACAGGGTCACTGCTTCAGCAGAAGCACATCTGTCACTCCAGGAGGACTGCAGCCACCATTTATTTGGACTGCTACCAACACCCTGACCAACAGGCTGGCAGGCTCTATTCTGTCAGTGGGGTTTTTTTGTACTAGTGTATTTTTATTTTTATTTTCCTAGTAAAGAACTATTATTCCTATTCCAATATTTTTGCATGAGAGCCCCTTGATTTCAAGATTATAATAATTTTGAGAAGGGATTCCATTCTTCCATTTCAAGGGAGGTTCCTGCCTTCCTTAGCAGACACCTGTCTTTTCAAACCAAGACATCTACTTAATCCTGTACATGATTTTGCAATGCAGACATTCACAAGGATGTAGCCATATTCAAACTTACTTCAATTTTTCTCATGACCAACAGCCCATCGACAATTTTACCTAGAATGAGAAAATTTATCCACATTAATATGGCTGGTTTTTACCTTTGTTCCCTCCCCAGCTCATCACAGGTACATGCATTTTTTGTTCTTCCTGAAAAGCCCTGTGCTGTGCAAAGTTATTGGGCACTTCAGGGTTTGTTACTGATCTCTAAAATCATAAAGGAAACAATCCCTCTTCAAACATTCTCCACATTCAGCACAGATTAAGTGCCTTTTCTCATCACAGGGGTGGTGTGTGCAGAAATTTGGGGTTTGAAACCACCAGCTTAAGACTGGCCTGAAACTCCTACAGTTCAACCAGCAGTAAACAGAAATTAGCAGATGTGATTTCACAGAATTTCTGTCCAAAACTCTGCTGAAAGCTCAGCCCTCTCTGATAGTGGAGAAGAAAGGAATCATTCCACTCATCTGTGCCTTCTGCACTGGCACAAGGATTTGTACTAAAACAGTACACTGAACACTGATCTGGATTAAAGCTAACCTGTGAAAAAATGATTCATTTCAGCAGTGATCCATCACAGCATCAGGCTGCACCGATCCCTCAGCACAAGTGAGGAGGGAAGAACGAGCAGTCCACACCCAGAGGTGGTTGGGCACTGAACAGGCAATCCAGAGAATGATCACAGCCCCAAGGCTGCCAGAGCTCCAGGAGAATTTCAACAATGTTCTCAGACACAGAGTGGGATTGTTGGGGTGTCCTGTGCAGGGTCAAAGTCGGTCTTGAGGATCCCTCTGGGTTTCTCCCATTTCAGAAGATTCTGATTCTCACTATTTATTTTAACAGCTGCCCTGCAGGGATGTCTGTGAGCTGCCACTCCAGGACTTGTACTGCAGGTACTCACCAAATACAACATGTTTCCCATCCAACCAGTCACACTTGGAGCATGTGATGAAGAACTGGCAGCCATTGGTACTGGGACCACTGTTTGCCTGGGGGTTGAGAATGGCAAAATACAAGTGTACAATTTCAGACTGGCCAGAAACATAAAGAAGAGGTGTTGTTCAAGACTTATTTTTATTATTTTTAGCTTACTGCTACACAAACCAAAGGAAACAAGATGCACATCTGCAGGAGAGCACCCTGTGCTGGGATATCACCACCTCTGGTCACAGCAGAATGTGCAAGAGCCACGTCACCAGCTATTTATTATATTTCTACAAAGGTGTGTTTAATACAAGACTATGCCAAAGTCCAGGCTCTAGAGCACGCCCCTGAAAAAAGGCTGAACTTTTTGGTGACAAGTATTTATTAGCTGCAGCATTACCCTGAGGAAAAGTGAATGCCAGAAACCAGGGCAAGAAAAAAACCCAGCCGATTTCTGGTTTTTTGGGAGGTTTCCTCAGAGTAAAAATTAAAAATTTCCAATGATCATGATGAAAAAAGTAATAACTGTATTGGCACAGGGCTCACAGGAACCAGGGGATGCAGATGTGAAATTTTATTCACACCCAGGTACAAAACCCAGAGCTTTTGCATTCTGTTAAGAAAACATCTCTGCAACACTGAAGGCCACTTGTGACATTGACAACCAGGAGTTACTAAAGCAAGTTTCTGTCCTCATGAGTGAACTGGTCAAGTTTTGCAGCTGCAAGACTGCAAAGGACAGGGTCATTTTGGCTTGCTAGTTAATGCTAGCCAGTTTCAAAAGGATCTAGCTGGGATCCATGGTTTGACCCAGTATAATGACTTCAGAGCCATGCCACTTTAACACAAAGCTGGCAATACTGAAGTGAACCTCTTCTCTCACACCACATCACAGTAGCTGCTTAGTTGTGCCACGACACCTCTTTTTGGGCCATGTTTTCAAGATGAAGGAATAACTAGCCCATATGATGAAATGGTCTAAGCAAGAGGTTTTATGGGCAGAGCAGTTGAAAGAGCTGGGGAAGAAGAAGTTGTAGATAGAACACTGAAGCACTGGCTCCATTTGCTTTCTATTCTAAAAGTCAGGGTATTGTTCCTACCAGACAATGTGCAATGGTTGCAGTTTCTCCTACTATGTTGAATAGGAAGGTCTGTTTTAAAAGATACCATGGTAACATTGCTGTGGCTTTGGAACTCCCAAATCTCTCTGTTTCATCCTTGCCAAGGTCAGTGTTTGATAACAGTATCAGGAAAGAAGAAAACGCCACCAACTCACACAACTCACCACTCTATGAAAACTCTAAAAATTAAGCTCTTCTGAAAGCAACCAAGCCAAGCATGTCCCAGCACTCCCAACAGGCAGCAAAGAAAGGATGCTGCAGGATCAGGACCATTGTGTTACTCAACATATTAACCCATAAGTAACTGCTTGACTAGTAGTTACAAAGCAGACCCTGTACCAAATGGCAGAGATTCTGTTGTCCAGCAAGTATCCTATACATTTAAGAAAAGGGCACAGAGAAATTACCAAAACCTTTTTAGTCTGTAATATCATTATTTCATACTCACCATAGAAAGCAGACCAGGAGCAGAGTGTTTCAGCTTGAAGTTTTCATCTGCAAAAGGACCTCTATATATACTGGCTACTCCAGTGCCATCTCCCTGCACGAGAGAGGTACCCAGTCAGCCACAGCATTTGTTCTGTAGCAATTGCTAAAGATTATTTCAATTTAAAAATTAATTTAGAATCTCCAAGCAAGAGGAAAGGGCAAAATGGATGCTGTATTGCCATTTACACACACCAGCAGTGAACACATTCAGTATTCCATTTCTGAACAAGAACAGCAACTGGTTTCTAACCACATAGTTCATTGTTCACCATTCATATGTTGGCAGAAGCCCATGCAGATGTTAAGCTTAAGTCCAAGCCTCCCAGAGTGGAGTGGAGGCTACAGATTGCTTGGTACAGACCCACCAGGACTTGGAAGGGAAAAGGGAGAAGACACAGCAGTATGGGCACATGCAGCTCCACATCTTCTGCTCTACTTGCCCAGCTTTTGTTTGTTTTCCTGCTGCTCTCTGTAGTTTACTTAAACTGTTGGCTCTGAGACAGAAACGTACACCCTGTCTCAGGGGTCAGTGTGACTGTGCTTGTTCCCCAAGTGCCTTTGTAATAAATATAACATATAAATTCCAAATACTGGAGCAATCTAAGAAGCTTGTTGAGATGCAGTAGAAGTAATATGGCACACTGGGACATCTGAGCAGTGTCACAATTAGCAACTACACCAGAGTCTGGTGTTGCTGAACCACCTGCTGTGTGGTCATTTCTCTCAGAGACTTTCATACAACCAAGTTTTATATTAAAAAAGCTTTATCACTTCCCTCATATTTTGAAACACTTCCAAAAACAAAATAATTTTACTGAGTCCTAGAACAGTGAAGAGATCCTGTGGCCCTTCAGCCTTACTCATATTCTGCTTATCCCCATGTCAGAGCATGACCACCATTGTGGGTGCAAAGTCTTTTCTGTTTTGAGACAATTTAGTAACAAAAGGCTAGTTTTGATTTAAATGACCTCTTATGTCACAGACTGGGTTCTGTACTTAGGGTCTACCTACAATGTGAATTGAAATTCACAGAGGATTTTGTCTGGAGAAGGACAACAGAAAGGGGAAGGAAAACAGGGAAAAAAAATTCAGGTTTTGAAAGCTTCCAGCATATTCCAGGCTATTATAGAGAGAAAGTATTTTGGGAAGACTGTGTGTTCACCCAAGGCTCCAGATTTGTCTTCAAGTGATTTACTGCCTGCTGCAGTAAGACAGCAGCAGTGCCATGAGGACACCTCCAGTTACTGCCTCAAGAGATCCTGCAAATCAGCACAGACCATTGGAAATAATAGCATGTTATACCATAGAGGAAAAGGACAAAAAGGGTACAGGAATACATACATTTACGAAGTCACCTCCTTGGATCATGAAATCCTTTATTACCCTAAAGAAGTAAAACAGCACTTAGTTCTCAGTGGCCAAAGGCCTCAAGAAGCTCAGTGTAAGGTGAAATGGGGTTCTGCCTTGCTGTGCAACTGAAGTTAACAGTCTGTGAATGCTGCAGCCTTAAATCTACAATAAATATTAATTAGTGGTTGATATGAGGTCATTTAGGACTCATTGCTTTTGACCAGGGATAGTGGTTAGGTGACATGGCACACCAGAAACAAGAGTTTCCTCACATTGGGGAGGACACAATCCCCACGTCCCCCAAAACCACAGAACTTGATTAGCCATCCACAAATCAACACCACTAATAGCTCAAGGCAGGTCACAAAACCCCATATGACTCAGGCTACTATTTAGTGTCTAAACAACAATAAATCATTTACCTGTGGAAAGTGCTTCCTTTATAACCTATAGGGACACCATCTTTCCTGTAAGGAAGTGAAAAGGAGAATTACTGCAACCTACTGGATATCCCAACACAAAATTCTCCCAGCAATTCAGAGTCCCAAAGGGTTACCCTATGCATTATCAGCTGCCTTGAAATACAACCAAATGCCACAGCCTCTCAGTTGCTGATGTTGTTGGAGGCAAAAAAAAAGCCTCAAGTGGGCTCTGCACATGAAATGACTGTTCCCTGCAACATCCACATCATCATCATCTTCACAGGATCCCACTGCAATGTGCAGCATGAGCAGGTGGGCTTTGCAGACAGGGCTTCTTAAAGCCACTTGGGCACAAAATAAGTCATATCCAAAAGGGAAACCTGTCATCTCTCTGAGTCTCCCAACCCCTCACAACTCCCTCAGAGCAGTCTTGTCTTCCATTTTGTACTGGCATAACATGAAAAAGTTCAAGACAAACCCTTTCTACATCACCCAGCCCTGTTTCTCCAGTGGCACACTTAAAGAACATTATAATCCACTTACCTGAATTCACCTGTACAAAACTGCCTGGCAAACAAAAAGACAGGAGAGTGTTAGGAGCATGTGAATTCTGAGGGCTGCGCCAACCGGCGCACAGGATTTTCCTTATTGTGTCAGAGATGTTCCCAGAGAAACAGGCACAGGAAATGGCAACTCCTTCCCCCTGCCATTTCCAAACATTTTCCGTGCTCTTTGTGGTGAGGAGCTCAGAGAGTGATCACCAAGGTTGTAAGAGACAGTGAATGTGGGGCAGGCTCTGTGTTTGACAGAGACCACGGTATGTCCATCCCTCCGATGGAAGTGGGATTTCACATGGTGCATCCCTCAGCTGATGGCAGAATTGGGTGGCCAGGAGAGTTCCGCCACAGCACAAGGCACTGCCTGTCCTAAATGCACGGAGCACATCAGGAGGCTTCACAGAAGAAGCAGAAGAGGACCCCTTCCATCCAGACAGTGTCCCCTGAGAGACCAGGATGCCACACAGCATCTCTGAGAGCAGAGACACAAAGCAAGTGAAGCAGTTTGGGGCGGGTGTCAACTGTTTTTGCCACCAAAAGCCATTCCTGCACCAGAAAGCCTTTGCAGCTCCAGGCTGAGCTGCAGGAAGGGTAGCTGCTCGTTACCTGAAGTTCTCTGCTGTTTTGGGTACAACATCGGCGAACAGCTCGATCTTCATGCGGCCGACCTCCTGAGGAGACGGGGACCGGGTGAGTCTGCCAGGTCCCCTCACACACACCCACCCCGGGCACTCGCACAAACCCGGTCTCCTCATTCACCCCCATCGATCCCCGTCCCTCCC